ATGGGCTGGAGCCCGAAAAGCACCTCTTTGCACCCAGGGAGAGGCTGGAGCTGCTTCAGCTGCATTTTGGCTTGGCCGACAATGTCGGTTGGTGGGCCCTTGGGGAAGGGCCTTTTCTGTGGTGGCTCTGACATGGTGGAATCAACTTCCCCCCGAGATTCAAACTACTCCCACCTTGCCGATCTTCAAGAAAGCTATTAAAACTCTCCTGTTCCGGAAGGCCTGGGGTTGATGTCCCGGGGGGGGGGGCGGGATTCGATTGGGACATGCTGTGTGAATGTATTCATTTTTAATTGTTATATTTGTTATTTTAATTTTGTATGCCGCCCTGAGTCCCTAGGGATTGGGCGCATATAAATTTTATTAATAAATAAATAAATGTTGAGGAGCCACCCGAGGTCCAGCCTGGTGCTAAAGCTCTGCCGTGCCTGTAAAAGAAATGCCCGGGCCTGTACGTGGCTTTGGGCTGCAGCTCCAGCTGACCTTGGCTGAAGCTCAGCAATGGATTTTCATTGGGGAAACGCCGGGGCACTCCTGGGGAGGGTGAAGAAGCCTGTCCAGAGGAGGCACTTTTTGGTCTCGGCAGCTGAGAAAACTCTTGGCCCATGTGGCTGTGAAATCCCATAAAGTAGGAACTTGACTGCAGGAGGAAGAAATTAAACCCCTTTTTCTGTGAGGGGATGTAGGGAAAAAAAGAAATCACTTGGTTTAGTTGTGGCTCAGAAAGGTGCAGGGCAGTCCCAGATCTGGATGGATTTGTAAATTATGTTAGAGTGTGAATTAAAATTGGATTCAATGTTGGGAGATCTGTTGCCTGTCAGGGTGTCGAGGTATTGGATGGGAAGAGAAAGGCACTTTTGCTTTTGAAGCTCAGCTGGAAGAGTGTTTCAGGGATGAACACTATTAAATAAATATTAAATCCTTGGGCCTGGCTGCAGCAATGGATGAGCCGCTTCCCTGCTCACTGCTTTTCTCTGGCTGCAGCTGCGCACAACACACCAGAGGAAGTCTGGCAGCCTCGGCTGTCCCCCCCATGTGCTCCTCTGCTTCCTGTGCTCTCCTCCCCCTGCGGAAGAACAATAGCTGTGCTAGGCTTCCGGCTGCACTGAGCGTGACCACCGCTCCTTTTCAGAGGAAGCAGCCAAGGAGGAGCAGCAGGCAGGAACCACAGCAGCCGCCATCGCACAGCCGTCTGGCTCAGCAACAGCAGTGGTGGCGGCAGTGGCGGCCAAACTCCAATTGCCTCCTCCAGCTATTTTATGCCTTCCCTGCACCGGACAATGGGAGGGAGGGAAGGAAGGGACAATGGGAGGGAGAGAGGGAGGAAAGGAAGGTACCCATGCCTGTCCCACCCCGTCCATCAGAGACTCACAGATCCCCCCACATCCCCGCCCGCACCCCCCACAGGCACCCCACAACCTGAGTGATGAGCTGGCTATGCCCCCTTAGCCATTGACTTCACTTGTCAAAAAATTGCAAAAGGTGATCACATGAGCCTGGGATACTGTGACCGTTATAAGTATGAATCAGTTGCCAAGCATCCGAATGTAAATCATATGACCCTGAGGATGCTGCAACAGCATTAAGTGTGAAAAATGGTCATAATTTGCTTTTTTTCAGTGCTGTTGTAACTTTGAACAGTCACTAAGCAAATTGTTGTAAGTCGAGGACTACCTGTACTTTATCATTTTTTCCTTTTTTTTTTTTTGGTCAAGTTTTTGACACTTTGCTGGACGACTGGTAGTACTCGGATATTGCCTTATCCTAAAAGTGGTACAATGGGTGAAAAGGTTGAAAAGCCCTGGAATACAGTTCCAAACCAGGTTTTGGAAAGCATTTTCCCAGCTCCAAAATACCAAGGTCATCCTTTCTTTAGCCCATCACATGGAGTGGCTGAAAAGACTAACCAATTCCTCTAAAATCTACTACTAATGGGACAATTATGGACCAATGGTTTAAAATGTACTTTGAATTAAAATTAAAAAGAAAACTTTTATAAAATGATATACCATTGGTATTTCACTCCAGATAGACTGGTGAAAATGTATAAAGGTATTTCCAACAAATGTTATAAATGCAATCAAATTCCAGATACATTTTATCATATGTGATGGTCTTGTAAGTATGCTAAATCATATTGGACAAATACAATAATGACAATACAGAAAATATTTAAAATACGAATATTAATGAAACCTGAAGTATTTTTTCTATAATGGATAAATCAATAGAAAAACAGTTTGGAATGCTATTCCTTTACATGGTAACATCTGCAAAGATTGTTTACACTAAACACTGAAAGGAAAAGGAGACACCAATCATCAAACAGTGGATTTTAAAATTAACTAAATTGGCAAAGATGATGTCAGACCAGCGTCACTTAGATCCCTAGGAAAAAAAGTGATAGATTGAAGTGATAGGTTCTTTTATTAGAGATTAATGGTTGCAGTGAAAGTGAAGCTAGATCTGAGTATTCCTGTGCAAAAGGTTACACTTTTCCTTTTTTCCTGGCTCTCCCCCCTTGACCAGTTCAACAGTGTCCAAAAGCTTCCTGGTTTGATGTTTTGGAACTGCTTTGCAGTTGAATGCTTTTCAAAGTGGTTCTATATTTCATTTAGCCTCGAGACTAAAACATATGAAGAACAGCTACAGGATTTGGTATGGCCAGTCTAGATAAAAGAAGGAATGGGGGAGGGGGGATGATAGCAGTATTCCTGTATTTGAGAGGCTGCCACAAGGAGGAGGGGGTCAATTTATTTTCCAAAGCATCAGAGGGCAGGACAAGAAACAATGGATGGAAACTAATCAAGGAGAGAAGCAACTTGGAATTAAGGAGAAACTTCCTAACAGTGAGGACAATTAACCAGTGGAACAGCTTGCCTTCAGATGTTGTGGGTGCTTCATCATTAGAAGTTTTTAAGAAGAGACTGGACAGTCACTTGTCTGAAATGGTATAGGGTCTCCTGCTTGAGCAGGGGGCTGGACTAGAAGACCTCCAAGCTCCCTTCCAGCTCTATTCTGATTCATTCCCAGGCCAGGTGTCCTTGTTGGCTGGATTATTCTGGTCTGACTCTTCTGGTTCCTGTTATCCAGGCTCCCTCCCCACTTTCATCCATCTTCTCTCCAGCTCAAGCTTCCCCCAGATTCCTTCCCATTCTTTGGTACAAGGATCTTAATTTGTGGCTATCAACTGATTTGATTTAAAGAGAGAGCCCATGAGAGCCCTTCGCTCTCACTATTTTATGCTGCACTGATGGTTGCTAGCCAACAAGGTTGCAAGTTGGATGTCGGCCATGGTTCAGGGCTATCCTAGTTCTGGCAGAACTTTTAGAATAATTCTTTTTAGCAGTATTTTAAGAGGGCAACTATAAAGCTAGATACAGGCTTGGCACAGGTTGACATCAGCAATCCAACAGCCACATCCAAGGGAAAAGACAAGGAACAATATGAGGTGGAATCCAGAGTTCTTCGCACAACCGAACAAATTGAACTAAGTCTTGAAAAATTGTTTTAGCTTCTGCTCCCAATAAATCAGCTGGGCTGAATCTCCACCCAATGCATAGCTGTGGCAGTTTCTCTTCAGTGGGCTCATTTCTTGGCATGTCTCCTTTTGGAAGATCTCACATTGTTTAAAGTTTTCTCATTGTTTAAACTTTCTTACAGACCTCGACTTAATAATGGGAAGTTGGATTTCAGAGCTAGAGTAGGTGCAGGTAAGGCATTGTGGGAGATTGCTGGAATTGTTTCAGCCAGAGTGGTGTCACTAGTTACACCACTACTGGAATCATCTCCACCATTATCCCTAAATAATCCTGATTCTTCCTGTTTTCATCAGAATATAGGTCTAGCAGTGCTGTAACCCTGGCATTCTTCTGTTCTGAAGAACAACTTGCAATTATTATTACCTAAGTTTTATTTTTGTATAACAGTATCATAGGATGCATAAATGGCACACTAATGAAATCCTAACAGAGCAGGTGCATACAGAACCTCTTGGGGTGTAGTTCTAAGCCTGTGCACATTTTTCATAGCAAGAATAAGTTCCTCAGCTATCTTGGGGTCAGTCAATTTTAACTGGTTGACTGATACAATATTCCCCAATCCCTCAAAAGCCTTAAATCTGCTGTCTATCTCAATCTATTCTTCTTTAAAAAAGTATTTTCATTTTGCAAAGGAAAAAGAAAAGTGAGAAACAGACTTGCCTCAGTCATTTATGCTGAAGGTATGAAGTAACATTAAAGGACTTTTCTCCCCTTTTGTACTTTTATTAACATTAGAACTTTTGGTGATTCAAATGTGTCAATAATACAGAATATGAAGAATTAAACTAGTTTCACAAGAGCATAAATTGAAATTATTTGCTGGTGATATAGTATTAATATGATTAAATTGATATAAAATTTCAATATGCAGTTATAGAGATTGAACACTCAAAATTTCAAGGAAAAAAGCATCGTTAAAATGAGGGCTCCTTTACTGTGAAATTAATTTTGATGATGTTAACCAGATATTTTTTTACAATTCAATAAAAAAATCTCTTGATCAAAAATTGGATATGAATTATCTAATATTATCTTCAAATATTACATAAAACATTAAAAAAGAAAACATTAAAGTTTAAAACATTAATTTTAAAGATAAGTTTAAAGGAAGAAAGCATAATTTCAAACATTTTGGGAAATAATTTTTCTGTCCTTTCAGTTTTGAACTTCTCAAATCAGGAGAACTTTTTTTAATACAAAAATTATTTTTTTAAAATATCATTTAAATTGCTGAATCATGTTAAGGAAAAAAAAGGCAAATTAACTACAATGTGTGTATGTGTGCTTATGTGTGTGTGTGCGCGCGTGTATATATCATAAACAGTAACTGATTATTGAACACAACATCACTGAAATCCATGAATGTGACGTATCTGAAATCCATGAACAGTTTTTTTCATACCAGCTTCAAGAGTAACCTCCAGAAGTGGTAGTACAAATAATAACAGTAGCAATAACTTTGTTAGGAATAAAGGTTTAATTTTTCAGGTTTCAAATGAATATCCAAAATGTCTCAGGACAATTTCAAATATTTTCATTACATGCTTGGACCCAGCTTTAAATCACATATAAAGATTTCCAATCAGTAGCAATTAGTACATGCCAATGAATGTAGATAAAACTAAGCATTTCCAACCAATAAACTACACAATAGGATTTTATTTCACTGTATTAAGGATATGTTGATACAGCTTTTCAGTGAATGCTCCTGATGAAAACTTTTCCAAAACTCTGATTCTTCCAGCAACTCCCATTGTCCTCTTTAAATTAGGATTTTTTATAAATTTCTCCATGGCTTCTGAAAATTGGGTTGGAAGAGGATTGCACAGAAAACCTGTCTGATTGTTTACAACTGATTCCATAGGTCCTCCTGAATTTACAGCAATAACTGGGCACTTCATGTACATAGCTTCTAAGGGAACTATACCAAAGTGTTCATTACATGGTGTGTATAGGACACATATGGAATTACTAAGAAGAGCTACTTTCTGCTCATCAGAGAATGATCGCAGAAATGTGGTATGATCTTCAACCTGAAGTTTGGTAGCGAGTGCTTTTAATTCAGCAAAATATTCCACATTTTCATTAACTGCCTCATCATAACCACCAGCTAAAACTAGATGAACTTCACTCCAGCTTTGAGTATCAAGTCTACCACGAAGATCATGTAATGATTTCAAAGCCAAAACTAAATTTTTCTTTCTTTCATATCTATTGATGGAAAGAAACAAGAATTTCTTGTTTCCATTAGGAACTATATTAGCAATATTTGCAGAAATAGCAGTATCAAAAATATTGACATTCAAAGAGGGATAAAGGACCTCTGGATTCATGTGACACAAGGATTTGAAGGTGCGTTTGAAAATATTTGCTGTGAAGTAACTATTGACAAGAATACAGTCAGCCATGCCAGTTGTATATTCTTCTAACCAATCTAGTGGAGCTCTGTAGATGCGTTTAAGCAATGATTTCCTCTTAGTTAAAAGTTGATCAGGAAAGTGACAGTAAAACAAAATCTTTTTATGGCTCCGAGCTAGACGTAGTATTGGAATGCATGCAGATACCTAGGAAAAGAAAAAAAAAAGTGGAAAAAAGTGTATTATGATGAAAGTTAATGTGTTAAAAAAATGATTAAGATTTTGTATTTAGTGTTGCATTTTCTTATGTTAAATTTTCAAAAGATTTCCATTTTGATCATCTCCTCAGTGATATTTAATTCAAAATTGTTATTATTCATTTATTTTTTTCAAGAATGCCAGCTAATATTAGCAATCCAAAGAATATAATTTTTTCGGTAATTTGTTGTTTCTGAGGTGACAGAAAATCTCAGCTAGTCTCCTTTGTTTATTTGAGACATATCATTTATCTAAATAACACCTCCCCCCAAGCATTTATTGTCTAATGTTGATATACCAACATATTAATTTTGGAGAAAATTCTGCATAAGAAGCAAGTGGCCAATATTCTGGTCTGATGCATGTGGCAATATCTGAGAACCATTCTTCCCCTCAATTGAAAAAAGTATATTTTATGAAATGAAGGCTAGAAAGAATCTTCTTGGTTATTTTATACTCCATGATTGAGCAATTGTTTTTTTAGGGCCTAGTAAAATACCTCAATGTATTGAATTACTTTTGAAAGTAATTGTCCCATCCTGGATGTCCAATTAAGTATTCCTTTCCAAAAAGATAAAAATGATTTGTAGACACATCTCCTCACAGATATACCCAGAGAGATAGGTTTTTTTTAAAAAAAAAGACAGTCTAAAACAGTGGTTCTCAACCTTTCTAATGCCGCGACCCCATAATACAGTTCCCCATGTTGTGGTGACCCCCAAGTGGGTGTGGCCACCAATAAGAGGGAGTAGGACAGCTAGGGAAAAGGGAACAAAATGGTGGACAGCATGATTTGGCGACCCCCATGAAATGGTCGTTCGACCCCAAATGGGGTCCCGACCCACAGGTTGAGAACCACTGGTCTAAAAGTAGCTAGTTCTATAATACTGAATAGGCTTTAATCAAGAGAAAACACTCTCTTAACAATTTTACCTCTGCTTTGGTGACATATTTGACACAATACAGTAAGGTATAGAATTATACTAATCATCACTTATCAGCAAATTAAAATTGTATGGGCCACTGACTATAGAATAACAATATTTCTATAACATTAAATAGCTTGAGAGAATCCTCTTAAAATGATTTCTAAAACATAAGTAGTATAATTCTATTTTGCATTAGTAAGATTCCCATCTTACTGGCACCATAAAGAATTTTTATAAGATTTTGAGCACCATACTTTAACAAGCAACCAAACTGGAAAAAGACCAATCAACAGCAACTTGAATATCAGGGGAAAGAAAGAGTAAGAGAACTTTTGAAAAAAAAAAAAAAAAGAGTATGGGTACATCACTTATAAAATATCTGAACAGATATCAAGCTATGGAGGCTATAATAGGCTCTTAAATATGTGAAGATGCAAAACATGGAATAATATTCTAAAATAATATATTATATTGTAATAATGTAATATTTTCTAGATCCTCCAGGAATGAACAGCAGTCTCACATTGCAGGTGAAGCTAAAAAAAAAACAAATATTCAAAAGCACACCACTTCCTTAAATGGGTGACATTTTCTTAACATGGAATATGAATAGTTCTAAAATAATTAATATAAAATTGTTTACAATGTGAGAGAGGAAGGGCGGTAGGCCCGCGTTACATCCGACTGGCTAGAACCTTAATTCTGAATGGATAGCAAGAAGTCAAAATAGAAAAATGAATACCTGTTCTTTGCACTCTCTTAAATACTGATCTTAATTACAGAGAATTATCGGGAGAAAAAGGCATAGAAATAATTGTGTAGCCTTTTAAATATATCGTGATTTGGTGCGTATTTAAAGATTTTCTATAAAATCAGTATTTTCAGAATGTAATGTTAGGGGGAAAATAAGTTTAGGAACAGACTATCCGAGCGCTCAACACACCTGGTCACAAACAAAGACATCAAACTCCTCTCCACTAAGCAGCAGCACGTGCAAAGCCAGCCATATCATGCGTAGTACGGCACAGAGAGCGTGGCCTCTTCCGAAAATGTTTCGTGGCAACCAGTCGCCAGCTATTCTTATGTCTAGTTGAGCCGTTTCGGAGAAGCACCGCGAGGAATCATAGCGCGGGGTCCAAATTTGCACGCGACAGCCTCGTGCGCGGAGAGCTAGAGCTGCGTCTATTATCAGCCTCTCTGCCCCACCGATGCCGAGATCTGGGTGCAGAAAAAATACGGACGGTCCCTTTTGCTGCTCCTCATTTGTTTTAAGCTCCGGAGCGGCCATGATGACGTCCGTTGTTTCAAGCTTCCGCAGTATAGGGCATGGCTACAACAAACATATCCGGATCATTCAAAAAGCCAACTCAGCTTTAGGTGTTTTCCTCTGAAATAGAGCCTAAAGCACTGCCTGCTCCTTTTCACTTTCACACAGTATAATTAGGAAGGAACTGTCAGGAATAAATTAAAATTTAGCTTAACTGCATTTGTTGAAAGAAAGAAAGGGTGATCTAGTTAGATTATTTTCTTGGTTATGAGAAGAATTCCAATCGGGCAGTGAAGTAGTCTCCTGATTCGGAAGGGGACCTGTTGCGTCAAAAGAAAGCAGGTCCCTTCTTCAGACGGAGACGTGTCCTGTGAATTCAAGGGGTTCGTGTTGTGTGTGTCACCTTTGCTATGGTAAGCGAAAGGAGCAACAAAAGGACGGTTTGTAATGAGACATTGGGTATGCGTATATACCTAAGAATCTACATTTAATTGTCTTTCTTTAATTTTCAGCCGGGTCCCAATCCTAGCGCCACCAGTGTGGGTGCCTCTAGTCGCTCCCCTAGCAAAGCAGTAGCCCCACGTGCGACGGGATCCACAGTGCGACAGAGGTAGGAAGATAAAGAGTTTATTGATCGTTAAATTAATAGCGGGCTGTAATAGAAACGACTCATAATGGATCACTCCTTACTTTTCATCGTTTTAAATTACAGTTACGTAAGTGCATATATAAAGTACAGCCCACTGTATAGTCACCAGAACGAGGCAATAAACATTCGAACGAACTATAGGTAATAGCAAAGAATTGCACTTTTCGATAACTCTGATGCCCTTAATGATCTACTGGATTTTAAGTGCCAGAAAGATTATCATGGAAAGTGGAGAAACTATTCATTGCTTCATTTATTTCTATATCAGCGGGATATTTCCTTGTAGTTATATCTCTAATAGTTTAAGTTGGAGAGATTTAGAAACTACAGTCTTTGTTTGTAAACATCTCTAACACTTAACTTTCTTCTGTGCATATCATAGTTTTGGTGTACATCAGTTTGATATAATGGTTGAAGTATTGACTTAGAAACGAGGAGACTATGAGTTGAAGTCCCATCTTAGGCAGAAAAATAGCTGGGTGACTTTGGGCCAGTCTCTTTCTCTCAGCCTTACTCACTTCACAGGGTTGTTTTGGGGGAGGAATATCACACGTGTTCACTGCCTTGAATTACTTATAAAATAATAAAAGTGGAATAGAAGAAAAATGTAAATAAATAATAAGTGACTAGAAGATAGAAATGGTAGATCTGAATTTCTCTTAAAACTGCTGAAGTATAATTCCCATTAATTACTAGCATCATCTGTGAGGAATTATGCTATGAATTGTAGTTCAATAAGGCAGTTTTCCTATCTAGGTTTGATACAAGGCAGTGCTTCGTAATCTTGTAATGGAGTTTTTTTCAGTTATAAAATTGATAAAAAAGCAAAGCATGTAGTGTATATAAAAGTTGTATGCTTGGTTACTCTTTTTATTTTTAATATTCTTAAAAACAGCTTGGTTATTCTTGATATATTTTCATTTTTGGTTTTGTTTGTAGGAAAAATGCGAGCTGTGGAACAAGGAATGCAGGTCGTTCAACTTCTGCTGGTACTGGAGGAATGTGGAGATTTTACACAGAGGATTCCCCTGGTCTCAAAGTGTAAGTAAAAATATAAAGGCAATAATGAAGAATTTATTAGTGTTTCTTGTAAATCTACTTCTTCAAAAGTAATTAGATTTGTAACCAGAATTTTTTGTAGTATGGTTTTAGATGCTTTGATTTTTCTCACGATCATCAAATTTCACATTAGTCCATAAGGTATTGGAGTAGTGGTTGTGCTTGCTCCCAGAAGCATGAATTGTGCACATTATTCTGCTTTTGTCTTTATGGTAGTGAATAACATAGGGCAGTATTGACAAGGGAGATTAACATTTAATTTTTTTTCTGAACTTTTGGTTTCACAATTCATAGTATTTTTCTGCTTCATTTCTTCAGAATAAGATGGGAATACAGTATTATGATAATTCCACAACTTTCTGAGGTTTACCTTTGCATACTTATATCTGATATTTACCCCTTGTCTTTAAGATCATATAAAGCAGAGGTCCCCAACCTTTTGGGCAACAGGGACTGGTTCCGTGGAGAGAAGTTTTTCCATGGACCTGAGGGTGCGTGGTTTTGTGTGCTGCCTGCATCTCATGCATCTTTTTGCGGCCCGGTTGCTGGCATGTTGTGGCCCAGTACTGGTCCATGGACTGGGCGTTGTGGACCCCTAATATAAACCACTTAGAGAAACTTTTTCATGCAGTGCATACTTACTATGAAGTACTACTAAATAATTATTTACCAAGTTGTTTTAAAAGATGATTAGCAGTTTATAACCAGAGAGATTGGTAAATTTTAGGTCTGACAGCCAGTTTGGTGTGGTAGTTAAAGACACTAGCTTAGACAGTGTGTATTCTAATTCTGTCTTAGAAAGCCAATTGAATGATTTGTAACCAGTTTCAGCTTTAGGAAGAAAGCAGTGGCAATCTCCCTTCCCAAAATGTTGACAAAAAAACTACATGGACTTGTCCAGACAAGTGCCAGGAATCAAGGTTGACTGAAATATGTATGAATGCAGACATTTTAGATACACTGTATATATATATACATTGTATATTTATCTATACTGATAAATACAGTTGTGGATATTAAAGCACTCATGTCTAAGGATATGCAGTATTTGGATTCAAAGGACCATTTGCTGCTTCAGACTCAACTACTTCACACCACTACTCATATCCAAGTATGTGATAATTTTGTAATGATTGCAGGAAACTTAGGTTCTGAATAAAGTATTTTTTTCTTTTATTTTTATGAATTGCTAGAAAATGTGTATTTCAACTATTTTCTCTCCTATTAAATAATCAAAAACTAAATATAAAAGTAAATAGTCCAGAATACATTGATTGTAACTCTTTAATCATTAATAAATAAATACATACATAAATAGACATATTTGTTTTGGTGCAGTTTATGGTCTTTACTTAAGAGTAGTACTAAGTAATGTTTATATTAAATAGTAAGTCAAATATTCCAACAAATGTTTATTGAAGTCAGAATAGGTCAGGGATTTATTAATTTTATTTAGATATAAAATTTATCTGATTACTTGACCAGTTTCTAGGTAGTTTACAGAATATATATATTTAAAAGTCGGTACAGAATGAAAATACAATGATCAAAATAGTAACAAGGAATAGTATGCTAAAACATAAATCAAGTAATATTCAGAGGAATCTTACAGACTTGAGCATTGGTCTCTAGCCATCAAGATGCAGTTCAGAAGTGAGAAAAATAAGAACCTTCATAGGAAAAATCAAATGCATGGGTATAAAATATATGGTTATCTGGTTCAACAGTAGTAATTGTGAAAGTGGACCATCACTAAAGTATGAGCCAGCAGTGTGCTGTGGCGGCCAAAAATGCTGATAGAACAATAACTAGTGGAACAGCTTGCCTCCAGAAATTGTGGGTGTTCCCATCACTGAAGGTTTTCAAGAAAAGATTGGACAATCATTTGTCCAGGATGGTATGAGGTCTCCTGCCTTGGGCAGGAGATTGTACTAGAAGACCTCTTAAGATCCGTGCCAGTCCCATGGTTCTATGAAATTATAGAGAAGTATTGAGAATAGAAATATCTAATGTAGAGGGTTAGACTTTGTTAAGGGCCTGGCTCACAGTCTGGAAATGATTCTGATCTACCAAGGCATGCATAGCTATGGTTACTACCATATATTTCGGCGTATAAGATGACTGGGCGTATAAGACGACCCCCAACTTTTGAGAAGATTTTCAGGTTTTAGAAAGTCATCTTATACGCCAGAAAATACAGTACAATATTGAATTTCTGTTTATAGATGAGCACAATAGGAGCTCCTTTGCTGCTAGAAAGCTTTGTCCTGTTAGTGCTTATTTCTGTAAAAAAATAGGGCTGGCCACTAGGGGGCAGATTGGTTTTAAATTCAGAGAACAGCTACCCGTATATTCCTGCGTATAAGACGACCCCTGACTTTTGAGAATATTTTCAGGTTTTAGAACAGTGGTTTTCAATCTTTTTAATGCCGCGACCCCCAACCGGTCGTAAGTCAACGGTGCAGCACCGTTTGCAGAATGGGACTTTTGGCGGGCTCAGCAGGGCAGAGACAGCCTGGACAATTCCTATTGGCTTTTGAAAGCCAATAGAATTAGACTCTATTCAAGAGAGTCTATTCTATTGGCTTTCAAAACCCAATAAAATAAAAGGGAGTAGCACAGCTAAGGAAAAGGGGAAAAAATGGTGGACTGCGTTGTTTGGCGACCCCCGTGAAATGGTCGTTCGACCCCAAATGGGGTCCCGACCCACAGATTGAGAACCACTGCTTTAGGAAGTCGTCTTATACACCGGAAAATACGGTAGTAATGCTTTTTATTAGCTTTCCTACTTTGACAGTTGTAGTCTTTTGTAGAGCAAACTGTTTTTAATTATTTTAATGGATTCTGTAGTTTTAACCACATTAGAATATTAGACTATACTTTACACAGTTTTGTCTCTGTGATGAGCTAGAAACTTAATAGAGAATGTGGGGAAGCTAAAATTCTTCTTACCCAGGTAGAATATAAAGAACCCTTTATTCCACTGTGCATGAAATTATGTTGTATTTGGGAATGGGAGGAAGACCTGTAGTAGCTTTATATTGCTTTTTATGTAATTTTTGCAATCTAAATTTTTAACTACCTCTCAGATATCACATGCATACAATGTCATTTTGCAAAGGTTATAAATATTGATTTGTATTTTACATCATTAAAGCACAAAAGCAAAGTGAGACTGTAAACTTTAAATATATTCTGTTTTAATCTTTTCTGTTAATGATACATTGTCATTGCTTAATATCATAACTGTAACACTCCAATTCTTTGGGTACATTGTTATGCTTTCTGTTGCAGAACTCTCTCATTTAAAAATTTTTTTTATACCAATAATCTTTAACCTATATAAAACATTTCTGC